ATAATCATGCATGAGAGCATTTTTCTTAATACAATGGATTAGAGCACATGCCATAGTGTTATATCATGATTTGGCAATATCTTGCCTACTGCCACAGAAATGCCTTTAAGGGTGCAACATAATTCACAAGCTTGAACAAAGGCTCGGCCACAGTCAGTGCAGCAGAAATACAACTCCAGCACTAATACAGTTCACTGCGCACTGCCCATTCTTGCATGCTGTACTCGCCCCTCCGCTGCGCCAGCCTTATCTCTTTAGGTCGTAAAAGACATTGCCAGCCGCTGTGCTTTTCCAGTCCTTAGCATGACGGGGCACTAAAATAACGAGCAGCAGGATGGTTAGCGACGAGAATTTTTTCCTGGTATTTGAAGAAGGTTCAGCTCTGCCTCCTACCTCAGTGCAATAATGCTTTTCAAGCCTTTGGCTTTCCTTTTGCTTCTGACAGGTGAGGGAGATGACGGACACAATGGTGCCATTGCCGCTGCTGTCTTGTGAGGCCGTCCAGGATGTCAGGGCAGTCGTGGAGCTCAACACCGTCACGGTCACGTGCTGGGGCTTTTCCGTCAGCTCTTCTATCCATTCGCCCGTGGGGCCTGCAACATGCCACAAAAGCACGCGTCAGCAAGCCATGCGACTCCCTCCACTCTGCATTTAGGGCACTTGTGCTAAAACACCCTTCTTTCATGAGATTATTCCGTATGAGTGAAAGAGGCCAGACTGACAGGTGTCCATCAGCCTAGCCTACAGGTAGCAAAGAGCAGCTGCAAGGATACAGCCCGTAGCCAGTGCTATTTCACTTGTAGCAGAGTAGATGACAAGAGAAATGCTACTGTTTCAAAAATTCAGAATGCACTATTCTCTACTGCTCACCAGGAACCACCCAGAAATATCAGGTTTGCTCCCGGGAAACATTTTAAAACCAGTGATAATGTACAGATTCCTGACAATTATTAGAGGATAAACACACAAAATGTTTCCCTTCTCTACACACTAAAACACCCTCCAAGTGTACTATGGCACTGAAGCGTGAGAATTGGTTCGCAGAGGTTGCTGCACTGAAGAGTCTCATTCTCCATCACATATTTTGAAGCACTTTGTAGAGAACGTAGGGTTAAATAGGGATAAAATAACAACTTGGAAAATAACTTCAGCTAAGCTTGGTCGAAATTTCAGATTTCATGAAAATTACCAGCTTTTCTTACCACTTTTAAGTGATGCTTTTGAGAGCACTCTCCTTGACATTCCTTCATTCCATAAAATTCTAATGGTATTTTTAGTTTATTAAGAAAATAAAATAACCACCAAAACATGAGTTTGGTGTAAGATCAGCCAATAACGTTTGACAATCCAGACCGCATTTGAGAAGAACAAAAATGTTGAATAATACAAGCCAGTAATCTGACAGGATGATTCACTGATAGAAAGCTAAAGGAATACAATAAGGGTGAAGCTGTGAGCAACGTTTATTCAGAACAGAAGAGCCTACTCCAGTAAAAAGAGGAATGCAACCATTAAATGGTCTCTGGAGTCACTGGATGTATGTTTAGTTCTTACTATTCTTAAATTCTTTCAAGGGAGCTTAGCTACCCTACCTTCATGTCTCAGACCAAAACTGCAGTTCGCTCACAAGGCCTACTTAATCAGACTAAAAGAAATGGAAAAGTAATTTCACCTGAAGTGTACCTGTGTACATTTCGCATTTGGCATACTATCAGAAATACATATAAAATCTACCTAAAACACTCAGGATCTTGAATTTGTCTGGATAAATAGGATAACTGACAAGAAACTTCATGGGAGTTCTAAAAGCCTGCAAAATTAACAGACAGATTGCACTGGAAAAAAACCCCACATATTACATGTAACATGAAAATATTGATTACTTTCCTTTAACATCTTAATACTTTACACCCAATAAGATTCAAGTTCATCCTTGCTCTAGTAGTCCATACATCCTACATTTTTTGAATAAAATTTGCTGAGAGAAAACGTTATTCTCTTTTCTCCTTGTTTTCCAAGGACTGTTTCTTTCAGCTGCAAAGTTGTTAAAAATAAAGAGGAGATAGGGGAATTCAGTTGAATGCACTTAACCACTGTGAGGAATTTAAGCCCAAGCAGTTAATATTTGTAAGTGTTATGAGCTGCTAAAGACATGTTTTATTAGTAATATACTTAGGTACTTGAGTGCCTTTTCTTATAACGAGAAGAGCAGAATAGCTGGTGTTGCTGCCAGCTTTAGCTTTCATGTCTTGCTGCAGCATTCATGATCTGGGAGAGAAGCTGTCTCCCAGATGTAAAATTCTGTAGTGCTGCAAGTGTTTCCCTGTTCTCTTTGTATGGGCATTCTGTAGGATGTATTTTTTACCTTTTGTACAAAAAAATATTCTCTGTGTGTGTTGAATGGTATACTTATTCATGCATCTCATTCCCATTTTTCTGTATAGGTGAACACAGTCCTCAGAAGGATAACAGTCTGAATTCACCTACCTATGTCTCACTTGCTGATCTAATGCCAATTATGGTCTTAGTTTAAATAGCTGTGTATTATTATTCTATCTTTCACTAAATCTGCAGTTAAGAAATTATAGGATTCTGTAGGTAAATAATAAATTCATTTTTGTCCTCTGAAGTTAGCAGGCTGGACCAAGATTTGCCATGCGTTCTTTCAAGAGACCATCTAATTTGAGTGTTTCTGCAATTCCCATACTCTCAGCCTGAGATGTCCTTTGACTGCCTCACGCTTTGTCCCTGTCCCAAAACAGGAGTAGGAGTCTCTAGGGGTAAGAAAGTTAAATATTTTCAAGATTCTTTATGACCACTGCTTTAATTCTCTGATTCTTTCTTTGAAAGATGCAAGATGGGGTCCTGCTTCAGTGAGCCGCTTTTGAGCTGTGGCAACCACTCTATGGGAAACCTCACCTGCTTTCAGTTCTTAGCTCTGTTAAGACAGCACGATCGAGGCCCATCCAGGCGGCTTCACTTACACATTTCCATGACACTGCCTTCTCCGGCACAGAGAAAGGGAAATTTCCAAAGACCAAACTCTGTTGATACTGCAGCAGATGCCACAAGTGCCACAGCATTTTACTCATCAAAACCTCCATACTTTAAAGTTACATTGGTCTGGGTGAAACAGATTTGCTGAGGTACTTACTGATGTAAAAACTAAGTGTTTTTGCTGATTGACTTCCCCGAACTTCACAAGAGCCAGAGGAGCTAAATGTTGTTACGGACAACTTGTATTTCCCTGGTTCTTTCAGTTCAGCAACAAATTTGTGAGTGTCTTCGCTTACTGTCAGAAATTCCGTGGAGTTCTCTAAATCAGGAAGAAGAAATAGTGTGGATTAATTGAAATTTCAAAGGCCCCAACCACTGAGAAAAAGATTTATATCAGAAATGCTAATACTGCTTCTGCTCTGGGATTAGAAGGTACCCAAACGGATTGGATTTATGCAGCTAGTTTTATTCCTTGCCATCAGCACAAGAATAATTAATGACCAAGGCTGCAGTATAGGTGTAAAGGAACAATAAACCCTGGCCAAAAATTCATTTAGTAACAGGGATGATAAAATAGGATTGCCATGACCGCACAAGTGAAAAACAGCACAGCATGGAGGAAAAGGAGCTTTCAGTTTTCTATCTATTGCTTTCTATCTATTTGCCCTAAATGTGGGAAAGATTATCAAAACTGCTTGTCAGGAAATAAAATTTATTTGGAGAAAAAAGATCTTAAACCAGAAAATCTCTAAGTGACACAGTTATTTTGTTATAGCTCTGTATCTTGAAAAGTCTCTCCATTCTCCGCTACAACCGTTTTGTAGCCTAAGGAATATGTTCTATAGCTGCCCTCTGAGACAACTGTTAATCTGAATATAGAAAGTCCTTTCTATAGTCCCCTTCTAGTCTAGGTCCCCCTGAGAATCTTTTTCAGTGGCAAACAAAGCTGCATGCTATAATGTGCCTTCTTTATCTCAAATTTCTATCAGTCTGTTTCTCCCTTCTCTGATACTGGAATGGATTTACGATAACTGCAGTGAAAACAGTGCAGCAATACGTATAAATCTTGTTTAACAAAGGAGATGATTTACCCCTCGTACCTTATTTTTATGAAGCCCAACCAGAAAAAAATACTATCCAATGCACAAAGTTTCTTAAGAAATACAGGACACCTAACAAGCCTTCTGAAGCACAGTATTACGTAATTAATAATTTGAAGAGGAGACAAATCCACCAGTTCTAAAAAGGGGTATGAAAAGGGTCTTTACCTTCCCTTTCAATATTGATATGGAAACCATCAAACGCTGTTGGTGGCTTTGGTGGTAACCAAGTGAGCACCATTTGTACAGGAAGGAAAGTGGGGGGCTCTGGCACAAGCTTTGCTGATGAATTCCCTTCATTGCTCTCATAATCCTTGGGAACAGCATTGACAAACTCCTCTTCACCCTCTGACGATTCGGCTTCATTAGACCACCAATACGGCTGTGATGTGGCTTCATCCTCGGTGCTGTTATAGCGGTCATCTGGCCAGGCATAAGATGCATTTGCTGTTGGCATTTCAGGTGGTTCATCAGAAAAATGGCTAAGTTTCGCTTTCCCTATTATATCTTGTGGTCCCATGAATGATTCTTCGGGAAAATTTCCGCTGTGCTCTTCCCAGTTGTTTCTGTTGATTGGTACAATCTGGACAGAAATATTTCGAGGTGGGTAAGGAACTAGAAGAGAAGCAAGGGTTAGTCTTAACAGGTATGTTCAATATACCTTATGTGTTAATTCCCCAGAAAAACAGCACATACTGTTCGCAGCAAAACTAAGCATCTAGGGATATTTTGAAATAACTTGTTCTTATTAAGACTCTCCTTTCTCTTACACGCATTCATAGCATGAGTGATTCTGGTGGGATCAAGGTTAGTGTAAATTCACAGAAGAGAAAGGACTGAAGAACACTACGATGTAAAGTAGATGTGACATGAAAGAATGAATCATATTTCTTTGCTAATATATAGCATCATGGTTACCTAAGTGTGTACTTGTAAGACTGGAACTTCATTTATTTTATTGTGCCTTCTAGAATCGCTAGAATCTTTTGATCATAGAAAAAAATATTTCTGTAGAAATGAGCTGAAAAACATACAGAAAAGTAATATATGGCATAACTCATGCTCAAAGGCACGCACTCCAGACTTCTGTACGGCTTTTCAGATGCTTTTAGCTGGCACTTTTTCACAAGCACCTAAAATTAGTTTAAATTGTATTATTTGTGAAAGCTTGATCTTGAATTTAGGGTCTTCAGAAGATAAGATTCTGGAACACAAGGAAGTTACTTACGCTAGGATATAACTGCTTGCCTGTATGGTCTTACCACTGATATATGTGAGGAGCCTGGTGGAAACAGCTTTTACTGGTACATTTTAATCTGGCACCTTAGCTTACCTCAAACTAATTTGTTCGCCTGTCCCTGTTCCCGCTCTCCCAGCCACAGCCATCTATACAAAACCAGACACTACGATCTTGTTGCAGTTCATGGGAAGAGTGAGGGATGAGAGGGCAGCAGGAAGGAAGAAGGTCACCCTATTGGTTACATATTTACGGTTCAGTCTCTCCAACAGCTGTATTTAGGATCATCACAACAGAACTCAGCTGGCATCAGTCGGCTTTGCGCCATCCAAAGCAATGGATCAACAACAGTGTATTCATCCGAAGATTTGGCCTTTTGATTTCAGCACTGGTTCATTTCACACTGGGCCCTGGAAATTGTCTGCGGTCCAACAGATTAAGAGGAAAGTTTTGGGCACCACCCCAGGATTAAATTAAGTTAGTTCTGGACCCTGAACAAATGCAATTTTCAGTCTTTCAAACATTGCAATCTTGAAAATTTAAGAGTTCATGCTTCAGGGCATAAACTGACCACCAAGCGGGGTGACTAAGACTTTCTTCTCTATGATAAAGGATTGCACAAGGAGGAAGGCTTTCTCCAGCAGTTTAGCTATGATTCATTGTGAGAGGAGACAGATCAAACAGAGCAATAATACGCTCAGCGGCTATTCCTGGGGGGGGGGGGGGGCAATCTCCTAATATAAAGCCTAGGATGTCTCACGTGAAGCAGGATTTATTCTCCAGGCAGCAAGCTTTATAACAGAAACACTCACGCAAATTGCCCTTTGCACAGGATTGCACAGGTAAACATATGCCCTGCCTCCCCAGTACTAGCCCAAGCATCTTCCTCCCATGCTCCTAGCCAGGAGTGGGTCCCAGGCTGCTTCCATACAGACTCTCCTCTCTATGGGATCAATCCTCACCCATGGCAGAAAAGAGTGGATCTAGCTGTACAGACTTAGAGTAAACAGTACATAAACATTTTCTTCACCTGTTCTGTGCTGTTTGGGCTCATGCCTGACCCCACTGTATTCCACCAGCGTGCTTTTGTTGAAGGTTGCTTCCGATACCAGCTGAAATGTGATGTTACTGTAGCATATACCTGGCAGCCAGTGATTGAAAACTGTTTTGCCCTTAAAGAAATCTGCAGAAGGTTTAAAAAGAAAAGGAAAAGGAAAAAAAAAGGAAAAAAGAGAAAAACATATCAGGTGTCTGCTTTCTGATAATGCAAACTGCACATGCTGACAGTGCTTCCAATGCTTAAACTACTCAGCCTTGTCTGAGAAATGAAATTCTATTACTGCAAAAAAAAAAAAAAAAAAAAGCCCAGTAAAAGAAATATGAACTATTGTTTACAGGAAAGGAACTGCATCTGGCAGCCACGTGACACTGAACATATCAAAGAGCATCTGACAGGTTCTGTAGACCTTTAACTGTCGCATGCAAAAGCCTCCTTGGTCGTCCTCTAGCTGAAGCATTAAATTTAGGATAGGTGCTCGAAGGGCAATCCACAACAGAACTGGGCCCAGTACTAAGATCTGAGCTCATCTCTAACATTAGTGTCTGTGTGGGTTGAAGAGAAGTTACTTAGGGCTATTTGGCTACGGGGAAGAGTGTGCTCTTTGATCAGTGAAGCTCTTAATTCAGGCTGTTTTTTTTTTTTTCATTTATCATCACCCGCAACGTTATAGACCCTGACACCGTATATTAGCTTTCACAGGCAAAAATTGCTGCTAGTATCGCTTTTGTTCTCTGGAAAGAGGCAGCCTGTGTATAGCGCTATAATCAAGAATCACCCATCCTACCTTCAGGTACTGTATAGAGTTGAAAACGTTATTGTAATCCCCCTTTGCATTGAAGGAAAAGGACATGAAAATTTTTAAAGCTCCTTCTGGAGGTGTCTATCTCCCTCTACTGACTCCTGAGAGAGCTTGCAATGACTGGACTTCCAAATTGGGAGTCCCGCTGCAGTTCCTAATATTGCTCACACAGGCATTTTATTGCCACTGTGCAACACCAAACTCGCTGGGTGCTAGGGCCTGCGGAACATGCAGGTGCCTTCTGCACCTCTTCAGATGCTCCCATACAACAGTCCCTTTTACATCTTTGAAATAAATGCTACGCTTAAGCTATACCAAACTGCAAAGGGGAGTTCAGATTTAAACAAATACAAAAGGCGGCAGAGCTTGCTCTGGTTAGATTGATCGCCTGGATTGTTTCAAGAAAAATGAAACTGATAGTATGCAGCAGGATTTATTAGCTCTGAGGCAATTCTGAATGATACAGTACTACACAGTACAGTGCTATTAGTACTATATCACTATATGATGGTACAGAAGAACCAGCTTCAAACACCTGCACCAGGAAATAGACATACTGAAGTGGTTCCCCAGATCTGGGGCATTCCAGGGCTCTCCTCTCTTTCATAACTGAGAAACTGCTGAGCAGTTTAATATGAAGAAACTTTGACTAGAGGGAAGTGAGTGGGAACTTTATTAACAATTTCAGTTGAGAAAGAATGACTCAGGCTGACTTTAGGACTGATGAAAAACTTTCTAAACTTCCCAGTCCTCTCCTAAAATCCAAAAGAATGAAAAGAAAGCATTACTAGGCCTGGGACAGGAAGCAGGTAAAAAATCCTAAGCGAACCATTGGCTGAACTATGAAGACCCATTCTTTATTCCATGATGTAAAAGTTATTATATAAACAGGCACATTACCAGAAATATAAATCATCATAACCAATGCACATCAAAAAGCACACCTAATACCACTGTTTAAAATGTTTCCAGTAGAGTTAGCATTGAGTACTAGTGGAATTGTTTCTTCCTACCTTTGTACAGCATTGTTCGGTAGTCTTTTCCTTCCCAATAGCTTATATTTACCCTGGTAAAAACATTGTACTTCTCTGGATACTGAATTTCAAACAACACTCCTGTTTCTGGAGATGGTTTGTAATCATAGATAGAAACATTGCTCACAGGAAGGGGTTCTAAAGGATATACAAACAAAAGGAAAAAAAGGAAGAAAGGAGCAGATAATTAGACAAACGGAGCTCTTCACATATATACCACACTGAAGAAATAAAACAAATGATTTTCCTAGGTACCCTTAAATCTACTAGGTGATATTTTGGGCTTCACAGAGATCTGGGGCAAAGCAACTTAGTATTTTAATGAAGCCAAGATTTGTGTGTGCCCCTCCAACTCATGTTATTGATGCTTACTCTTTAACAGAAAAAAATCCTTCACTTATAAAAGAATAGACATAAAAACCAAGGTTGAAATAGCAGTAATTATTTAAGCATTCACACTAATCACTGTGGCAAGATTTTCACCTTTAATGCTTGCCAGTCAAGTGAAAGCGGTCCCAGACAAAAATAACAAAACACTTTAAATCGCTCACAACTTTGTTATATATCTGAACTTTTAAAATTAGCTGGGAAGCCCATCAGTGTAATGGCCAAAGGAAACTATATGAATGAAGATTTTCCATTTTTATGCACATTTTTTTCTGTATTCCATGGGTGTAATGATTACACTTTCCCCTTCCTACCACATCAGAGAGGGCCACTGCATTCAAGGTATTTATCCATACCAAACTTCTACAAAATATAGCAGGACCATCGTCATTACTTTACAGGTGGAGAACTGAGACACACAGAGGTAAAATGATTTAGTAAAGGACTAAAGTCTGTTCACAGAAGGGTGGTAAGTGCGAGACTTCCAAGCTAGTGCTTTAAGCCTTGATCTAGATGGGCCATAAGAAGTAAGAGTAACAGCCCATATCCTTCAATGTGGCACCTAGCCCATGTCTCACACAGCTTCGTTGACTAAGGAAAGCCATGTCAATCCACAGCACTTGAGAATCTATAATGACGCTCACAGTAATAGAGGCATGGCTTTATTCAGCCTTCTTTATCCACAAAATACACACACACAAATATATATATTCACACATACATACATACGTGTGTGTGTGTGTGTGTGTGTGTATCAGAAGAATTAATCTTTTGTTTGATGCTTTCCTCAGGAAGGAAGGAAGTGATACCAAATCACCTTTATATTGAGGGCCAAGCAGATATTCAGAACAGGATTATAGTTTTAGCTGAAATTTGTCATACTAACATATATTAATAGAGGTAGTTAACACACAACACTCTCAGTAACTACATTTACAATCTCATAAGAATAATCTTGTTGATTTAATTCTTGCACACTGTAGGGAACGGATTGCAAAAATACGGGCATGGTGTTATTATATACTTAGAGGATCCATTTGAGTTCAAAGTCCTGTTGCAATAGGCCCTGGAGAAAAGCTCGTAAAAAGCTAATAAAACATCTCCTCCTCCCCCAACAGTCACAATGGGCAAGAGAAAAGGTAGATGAAAGGAAGTGCAATACCAATTTAATAAATGAGATCATCCCAGAGAAGGCGTAATCGGCTAACCAAAGATGGAAAAGCAAGTCTAAGCGAGAGCGGAAATTAATTCCCAATTACCAGCACAGTACTTTCACCTTAGTAATAAGTTTCTGTATGCAATGAGAACTGGACAAGAAAAAGCAGCTAAATACAAAAGCCACTGATACTAAAACACTTATCCCAAGCCTTAAGATGAACATACTGCGTCATTTCTAACCTTGTCAGTACTCGAGAATCTGGGAAATCTCGCAAGATGGTCTGATGTTGTGAGGATTCTTATTCTGTTTCTCATGGCAAAGAAGTTTGGCTTTGCCGCAGGTAAATATCTGTATATTTGTATGTTAACCACACACAAATGGAAACTCTAAACCCCACAATCATCAAGAGGCTTTGTAGTGGTAGAATCTGTGAAAATTTTGCTGACAATTTGTGATAGCCTAGAAATAAATGGCAATAAAGCGGGTCACAGAAAACAAAGCCTACACTCTTCTTTCTACTGAATCTTCTCCCGTCCCTTATTCTGAAATAAATAGTTGATCTGGCTATCCACATGACCAGAGGGTGCTTATCACAGCTCACACAGCACATGATAGCACTTAAAATGTCAATAGCTTTCTCTAAATAGCACAACTCTTAGATGTAGTCATCTTTCATGTTAGCGGGTGTGCCTTGGGCTTTCTTCTGCTGTCTCATTCAGATCAGGGCTTTCCTTATTACTGTAAGAATTACTGAAACTTTCTTATGTCAGTGATTAAATTACCCCATTTATTCCTTCCTCCAGCAAATCAAATAAGGGATGGAAGTTACATTCATTTTTAATCCAAATTATTTTTGCTCCTGATGTTTTGATTTAATTAACCAACAATTGAATTAAGCAGTCAGTAATCGCCATAGACTCCTTCTTGCTGTTATCTTCTGCTTACTATCCTCTCCTTGCTCATGGCTGATGTTAGCAGAGTAACACGAGTGACATAATGCAATTTAAAGATTCTTCCATTATCTTACTTCCTTCGGCACCAAATCTTCACATCAAAAGCTATTTGCACGCTGTGAAATTAAAACGACACTCAGCAGATAAAAACCATGTTCTATTTTTCACTTACTAACTGTTTCTAAGGTTACTAAAGGTTAAAGAATATGTAAAATGTCACTCTTCACCATCTGTATTTACAATTCAGAGCATAAAAACCTGGTCATTTTCACTTTTCAGGTTGCAGCATTTAGGATCCAGCTTTTTACAGATTTCAGTGATTCTCAAGAAATAGCCCAAAAGACACATAATATAACACCTAAAACCTTAAAGCTGTATAAACCCTCTGCACTACATTGATGTCTAAAGACATGTTACAAAAGGGACTTGGAGGATTTCAATGTCCCTCTAATAGCATGTTTAAGGTAGTTTTCAATGTATAATGTCTTTATTTTTAGACTCATACTGTATTAAACTCACATAGACAAGCTTGCAGGATCAAGACCTAAACTTGCCGCTCCCCCTTGTTTTTGTCTCAGAGTCTGTTGCTCCCATAGCAACCCACTTTCCCATTCTATCTGTTTACAGGAAATTTAACTTTTGCATTTCTCATGGACTCTTTGGTGTTTTGTATTTAGCACATAACTTGCATTATGCAAACATCAAGATAGCATAATGAATGTTGCTAACCTCCTCCTCAAGTGCCCTGGCAAATTCTGGATGCTTAATCCTCCATTAGGGCATTCAATCTGTGCCAGACACATGAATGTTTTAGGTGGCTGTTGCAACCCAAGGAAAAAGTACATTGAAAATAACTACCATATTCTAGTTCAAATCAATTCCGCTTTAATATTCATAAATCTGGTCACTCTACAAACCAAATTAATTATTGATTACTGTAGTAGGTTAGACGCAGTATTACACATGGCTGGATAAAATGGGAATGAGATCAGCTGTCTGGCTTCTCACACCCAAACCCAGGTTAACTTCCTGGGTTACGACTTACCTTCATATTGTGACTTTTCTGCAAAAGAAGCCCCATTAATGGTGGGACCTAACTCCAATGGGTAATCCCATTACTCACATGAAATGGTGAACTATGTAGCACTTTCCCTAGGATATGACTATTTACTTATCTGCATTCTGTTACTGGGAGTAAATCATAGCCAGGATCAAGCTTCCATTATGCTATAAACTCTAGGGATCATTTTATCTCTTGCTAAAAAGTGGCCAATTCTGAAGTGAAGCAGCTGCTTTTTAATATTGCATAAACACAACATTCAAGTTTATGATAGGTAATAGAAGATACCACGTGCTTATGAAAGGAGGATATAAGAGGAGGTACAACTGAGCAATGGTCTTACATGCCGCAGTGTCTAGATGTCCATCTGAGATGATAAAGACCATAGCAACTAAAAAATAATATTGGTACAAGAACAAAGGAATGTCTGTTTGTTTTGAATGTATTTAGGCCAAGACTTTAGACTAGCCTTCTAATGGAAATAGTGGCAGGGAAATATCCATCTGGGCAGAGGCTTTTTTGTCTGTTTGATTTTGACAAGGTTTTCCCCCTTAAAAAAGGGGGATTGCATGATTTGTTTTCTGAGGAGAGCAGAGGATTGCATGAAGGGACCTAAGATGTTCTTGTGAGACATATTTCAAAACCAGGGCTCCCATGAATAGCCAGCCTTTCTAAAGATGTGCCACATCATCCTTTAAGAAAGGAAAACATGAAGGACCTAAGTTTTACATTTCATCGGAAACAACTCTGAAGCCCCTACTTCAGCAGCTCTGATCCATTAATGACTCGGAGGAATGAATCTGACCTGCTGAATCACTTCCTACAGCATCTGGCACGTTGACAGCTAAGCATTAAGTAGGTAATGCCAATTACTTTCTAAGAGCTGAAGAGATCACAGTCCCAGGTGGCAGGCCCGTCGGTCTCGAAGGGAGAATATTTTTTGTAGAAGATACAGAGGCAGAATTCTCCCTAAAGGGGATGTATTTTATGGCGATTTATGTAAGGAGTCATTGGCTTTTGAAACAATGAGACATTTACCACTCAAAACTCCTAATCACAAGCTAAAATAAAAGTAAGAGCTCTTCTAATTTCCCCTCACATATCCTGAGTTCTCCAATTCCCAGCAGAAATATATTTTTCCTACAGCACACAATATATTTGCAGTGTACTGCTTTCTCCACTTCTTCAAATGTGCAAACATTTTTTCCTCCCCAGCAAGAAGAAATATTGACAGTAAATTAAAAAAAAAAAACAAAAACATAAGGACAATGCAGGTATGAATCACCCTGGAAATGAATAAAACAAGCCTTC